ATTATCCTAGAATATTTTCTTTAAAATTGAGGGCTGGCATGATGGCTCAATCATGGCTAAATCATGTACCTTCAAGTGCCAACATCTCATAGGGGTGCAGGTTTGTGTCCTGGTTGCTCCACTTCCCTTCCAGCTCCGTTCTTATGGCTTGGGAAAGCAGTGGAGGATGGCTCAAGTGTTTGAATTCCTACACTTCCTAGACCTGGAAGAAGCTCCTGGCTTTGGATCAGCTCAGCTCTGATCATTGCAGCCACTTGGGGAATGAAGCAGCAGATGGAAGATCTGTCCTTCTCTTGTAAATCTGTCTTCCCAACAACAACAATAATAGTAATGATGATAAAACTGGATTGATATATCAACAGGTAGACACAATTTAAGTTTAAATAACCATGACTACTTTCCCTTAATCACAATTCATAGGAAAATTCCCAAGTTTAAGGCATCAACCATTTTCCCAAACTGAAATCAGGGAAATAATGTTTTTTTGTCACACAAGGTGGCCTCTGTCCTGGACCTCTATGCTGCAACAAATACAAAAGACTTACATTTAAAAGACTAACTAAGAGCTTTTGTTATTTATGGTCCTTCATTTCCCCAGTGTCATCTGCAACTGTGAGCATTTGTTATTTATTTGAAAGGTAGAGTTACAGAAATAGAGCAGGAGAAGCAGACAAAGAGAGACCTTCCATCTGCTGTTCAGTTCTCCAGTGGCTACAATGTCTAGGGCTGAGCCACAATCAAAGCCAGAAGCTGCTTCTGAGTCTCCCACATGGGTGCAGAAGTCAAGCACTGGGGCCATCCTGTGCTTCTTTCCCAGGCACATTAGCAGGGAGCTAGACTGGAGGACGAGCAGCCTGGACTCCAGCCAGTGCCCATATGGGATGTTAGCATTACAGGTCATGAGTTAAACCACTCTACAATAATGCTCACGCCAATTGTGAGCATTAGTGTGCATGACCAACATCCCAAGTCTCCACATTTCCCTGTTCCAACATCAAAACAAGAAGTTGATGAGTCCTGGTGCTGTGAAGTTTGTAAGTTGTGCTCTTGCTGACTTTGCGACAGATGCTATTTGTCATAACAAAGAATGTGATTGACTAATATGTGCTACCTGCTTTTATGTCACAGATTCAGGATGTGTTAGCAAAATCAATTACTGTGTCTATATAGTGCCAACGGCCTACATTCTGATTTGTGATTCTAGTGTTCATGAATTAGCAGAATATTCACAAGTATTGTTCACAGATTTTGTATCAGTCAACTATTACTGCATAGCAAACTGCTTGGTGGTTTAACCCTACAACAATTCATTTGCTCTTAAGTAAATTGAGCCAGGCTCAGCTGGGCAGTGTTTGCGCTGGTCTCCTGTGTGGTCACTTACACTCATGTGCCTTAGGTCTCTTCTAAATGACTTATTGTCTCCTTGGCTCTGCTGGGCTTTTTCGTGGAACACAAGAACATTCCATGAGTCTGAAAGCAAAAGCACTGTGGTTGAATAGGACCTGGCCTTTGAATTGCACAGTGTTACTTCTGTGTCCTTGTATTGAACAAATAAAGCCAGAGGAGTCCTAGGAGAGAGAAATAAACTTTGTCTCAATGGGAGGCCTGGTCGAAGCCATATTGGAAAAGGGCTAAATTTAGGAGATGGCGAGTTGTTATGTAGTAATGTCCCGTGGCTTTGAGGAACATTTGGCCACATTTGAATAATTTGTTTTTCTTACATTTGTAAGATATGTGAAACATGTTTTGCTGATTTAGCAGATACTAAAATTCTAGTTGTCAAGTTTTATTTTTATTATAATGTTAAATAAGAATTACATCAAAATTAAAAATTCAGCTTTACTTAAATAATAGTGTTCTTGAGAATTTAAGTTTACTGATTAAATTTTGTATTTTGTTTGAAATTGGTGACTTTTAAAGGCTTTAAAGGAAAACCATTGATACGGTCAACTCTGATCCCTGAGGAAGAATATGGATTGGGACTGATTTAGCAAGCATGACAGTTAACCCTCTTAAGAAAGACATCAGAAAAGGAAAAGCGTTCAAAAGGCAGTCTGTTGCTTCAGGGAGCAGCATTCTGTTGAGCAGAGAACTCCATAGATTCTAACATGAAGCTTTAATGGCTGATGAAAACTGTCAAACAAGTAAAATTATTCTCAGCAAATTTATAACTTGAGCAAGTGAAGGCATCCTCTGCATTTCCTATTTTCTGCTAATGGATCTAATTACAGATCCAGCAACCAGGGGTCCACTGCCTCCCCTTGCACTCTTCACTGCCTTTAAGAACCCTAAAATTGTATCAGTTTAACTCTTCCCAAAACCTGTTTTGAGGGTAGGCAGGAGAAGAGGACGGAGTCATTCCGGGAAACCCGTGAGTTGTCAGATTCTTCAAAAGGGATTGGCCTCCTGGGAGCCTCTGGACCCAGGTGGGGCTGCGGTGAGCCTAGAGCAGAGGGGCCTCCGTGAGTCACCACAGCAGTAGATGCAGGGCCTGATATCCACCTGGGATGCCACACCCCTCGTCCTCTGCTGGCCCATCTCTCTGGGGAGGTGCAGGCTGTTGGCATCACTTCTGGAAACCAAGGCAGCTGCTTCTCTGTTTGTTCAACTGTCTCAGCACAGTGCCCTCTGTACCTGTAGGAATCACCGCAGAGTGCCAGCCTGGGCGAACCTGCTACCTCCAGCAGTCTTGGTATTGGAGCAGCAATGCTGAGGCCGCGAGATCAGAGAGAATGTTCCCTGAAGGAGGCCTGGGGGAGACTCCCTGCCTGCTCCTCAGTAACAGCAGCAGGAGGCTCAGTGCCCGGGACTGCCATGTGAATTAGGAAGGCTCATGTTCTCCCTGTTGCACTGTAAGACAGCCCAGTTCTAGTAAATCAGAAAACATGTACCAGTACCAGCTCAGGGAGTGAGTTTACCAATGAGAACGTCAACATGTTAAATGAAGCTAACAAAATCCTCCTTTCCTACTCCCCTCTGCTTTCTGTGGCTGCTGCCTTTCTTGCTGTTGAACACTGCTTTGCTTGTGAATGTGAGGATGGTGGGTGGGGAAGGCAATCTTCTGTGTGGGGGTGCTGGCTGTAAGCTCTGCTGCGAAGCCTGATAACTGCAGTTAAGATTGTCATAGGCTCGGGGCAATGTCCAGGCCACCTCATCTGACTCTGACTCAAGCATAGATGGATTTGCTTTGTCTATGCCTATATCCACAAAAACGAAAGTTGGGGGCCCAGTGCAATGGCTTACTAGTTAAATCCTAGCCTTGCAAGCACCATAGGGGCACTGGGATCCCACATGGCTGCTGGCTTAATATCCAGCTGATGCACTAGTCATCCAGCTGTCTGCTTGTGGCCTGGGGAAACAGTAGAGGATGGCCTGAGGCCTTGGGACCCTATGCCCATGTGGGAGACACAGAAGAAGCTCCTGGCTCCTGGCTTCAGATCAGCTCAGCTCTGGCCGTTATGGCCATTTTGGAGAGTGAACCAGCAGACAGAAGATCTTTCTCAAAAAATAATAGCACAAATTTGGAAATAACTTAATGATCCATTATTAGAGGTCTAATGAAGTGTGTTCCAATGTGTCCACTCAAGAGCATATAATGGAGTCATGAAAAAAGACTGATGCAAGGGAGTGTCCCTTTCTACTCAGTTCAAATGTTTTTGAAAGTTAATGTTGCTTAAAGAGAACACAGCAGAAATCCTCCCTTCTGCTCCATCTCCCAGCCACCAAATTCACCTTCCTTCAGGCTAGCATATGAGCATTTCTCTCAACTTTTACTGGTGCCCTAGGCACATTGAGGTGTATATGGATAGTCAATCCTTGTGTTCAAAACCACATGCATGGAAGCTCACTATGCCATCTCCCGCTGCCTCCCAGGGTATAGGCAGTAACAGGAAGTTGGTATTGGGGTGGAACTGGGATTTGAACTGAGGTACTCTGATAAAGGATGCAAGGCTCCCAAGTGACAGTTTAGGCTTAATCACTGTGCTGAATGCTAACCCCTGTTTTTTCAACACTTCTTTACTAAGTAGCTTCTATATGCTATGCACTCTTTAGGCATTCAAAATTCAGTAATGAACACAACAGACATACTTTTTCCTGGAGCTTTTATTTTTGTGGCAACTAAAGAAATAAATATATAGGAGAAGTGGTCAGTGCTGCGGAGAATAGCAGGGCAGGGGGCAGAGAGTGGCAGTAGGTGTGGGTGGTGGAGGTGGTGATGGTGGGTTTTTTGCTATTTTATTTCAGGTAGTGGTGAGAGACCAGAATCGTCAACCAAAATATAAATTGTTGAGTTGAAAGCAGTCATAAAGAAGCAGATGAATGAAGTCTTTCTGCTTTTCCTCTATTTTCTCAAAAGCAGCATAGATTGACAACAACAGAAGATATCCTACTTTTGCTCCTTGTACCAGGCAGAGCAAAGGTTATGTCCTGGAGCTGGCATAGTGGCTTAGTAGTCTAATCATGTGCTCTGCAGCACCAGCATCCCATATGAGCACCAATTCTAGTCCTGGTTGCTCTGCTTCCTATCCAGCTCCCTCCTTATGAGCTGGGAAAGCAGTAGAGGATGGCCCAGGTCCTTCGGCCCCTGCATCCACATGGGAAACTGGGAAAAAATTGGACCCTGGCTTCAGGTCAACTCAGCTCTGGCCACTGCAGTCGTTTGGGGATTGAACCAGTAAATGGAAAATATCTCTCTCTCTCCGAATTTGCTTTTCCAATGAAGAAAAAAAATACATAAATCTTACCAAAAAAAGCATGAAGACAAATGTGGATCCTCATTGGCCTAGCCTGAGGGATCTGCATAAACAGGCTTCCTCATCAGTATGCATCTGTTCTTTGTTTGCTTTCCTACAAATTGAATTCCCTGGAGACCTACAGTCCTACAGTTCTCTGAAGACGCTGTAGAAGCTGGAAGCACATTCTCTGGATATTGCCCATGTGTATATAAACTACATGTGTTAATAAACTTGTTTTTCTCTTGTGAATCCATTTTGTTACAGAGGTCTGTTCCAACTAAGAACCTATGAGGAGTGAAGAAGGAAATGATTTTCCCAATAACTGTCAGGAAAAGATTTCCTAAGCCTGAAGAATATAAGCAAGTGATTGATGCTTGAGGATGCTTCCGCAAGTTCACAGGAAAATGCAGTTAATGGGTAAGTTTATTTTGGTGCAGACATGTTTTGAAATCCATGCAGCTTTTACATTATATACATCCTCCACAAACTTCGTGAAGATCTTTACATACAAAACAAAGGGAGCTGCCCAGGTAAGGTGGTAGGGTACGTGACAGGAGGGGCAAAGCAGCTGTGGTAGCAGGCACTGAGTGACTATGTATTGGGAGAATTTCTCACTTTTTTCATGTCTGTATCATTCCATTGTATGTGTGTACTATAGCTGAGTTAGGCAATCTCCTGCTGATGGAGATTTGAGAGACTTCTGGGCTTGTGATTACAAACAATATTGCAAATAAATAACCTTATCAGTTGGCCTTTTGCTCATGTGCACATATATTAGAATTACTTGGGCAAGGGTATGTGTACTTGTGTTTATAAATAAATATGTAAAATAATGTATATTATTTATATATATGATTTATATGAATCATATATATAAACAATATGATATATATCATCTCTCTCTCTTTACACACACACACACACACACACACACACACACACACATAGCCAAACTGTAACCAACAAGGTAGTGGACTACTTTGGTCTGCTGCCAACAAAGTATTGATTTTTAAAATCCATTTTATTTAACAAATATTTATTGACTACATTCCATGAAGCAGATACTAGTCTGAATGTTGAGGGCTGAGATCTGGTGCAAGAAATCACAACTTGTAAATTATATCCTGACTCACAAAGCAGATCCACCATGCCAGAACAAGCTGTGATGTAATCATGCATGGTCTTAACTCCAACACTTCACGTTACCTGGCCCGGACCCACAGTTTGAAGGTCAAATTGTGGGCACCTCATGACCTCTCCGGTTTACAAAAGCTAACCTATGTTGGCAAAGAGCTCCCTCTGTCTGATTTCCCCTTTAACTCCAAATGCAACAGACAATGAGAGAGATCATGTAATTCTGGCAATGGGAACAGTGTTCACAAAGGAGGAAGGTCTCAAAGAACTGGAAACAAACTTGTGGCTTTATGAAACAAGGGAATCATTGAGGAAGGTTAGAGGCAGGTCTTATCTTAGGTAAGTCAGAGTGAGGCTGTCTTCTGTAGTTGACCTTTCCTCTAAATACACACAATGGGCGGATTTCTTAACCATTAGAAAAGTGGTATTTTAATATAGTTTTAGTGCTTCAGAATAGCAGCATAAAATATAATTCACGCATTATACAATTAACTCATTTAAAGAACACAACTCAGTGGATTTTTGGTATAGTCACAAAGCTATACAACCATCATTAGTATCAATTTTGGAGAAAAATTGATACCCAAGAGTAGTTTCTTACTTCCCGTTGCCCAGTCTAGGTGACCATTCTGCCTCTGTAGTTAGGCCCATTCTGGACATTTCATATAAGTGAAGTCACCCAATATGTGGGATTTTAAGACTGGCTCCAATTTTTAAAATAGATTTATCTGTTTGAAGGGAGGAGTGGAGGGGATGGGTAAGAAGGAGAGATAGAGGAAAACGAAAGCAAGGAGGAAGGGGCGAGAGAGTGAGAGAGAAAAATTATTTTTCCATTTTTTGGTTCATTTACTAAATGACCTCAACACTGGAGTGGTGCAGGCTGAAGCCAGGAGCCAAGAAATCCATCCAGATCTCCCACACTGGTGGCAGGTGCCCAAGCACTTGGGTCACCTTCTAGTACTTTGCCAGGCATATTAGTAGAACATTGATCAGAAGTGGAATAGCCAGGTCTCCAACTGGCCCTCCCCTAGGGCATGTCAACATTGCAAGAAATGACTGTACCTCAACACTGGCCCTTATAAGTGCCTTTCTTTTTTTCAAGATTTTTTTTTTATTAGAAAGTCAGATTTACAGAGAAAAGGAGAGACAGAGAAAAAGATCTTTCATTTTCTGGTTCATTCCCCAAGTGGCTTCAATGACCAGAGCTGAGCTGATCCAACGTCAGGAACCAAGAGCCTTCTTTGAGTCACCCACAAGAGTGCAGTGTCCCAAGTTCTTAGGCCATCCTTGACTGCATTCCCACGTCACAAGCAGGGAGCTAGAAGGGAAGTGAAGCAACCAGGATATGAACCATAGTCCATATGGGATCCTGGCATATGTGAGGTGAGAACTTTAGCCACTAGGCTACCACGCTGGATCCCTATAAGTGACTTTGTTTTTTTAAGATTTATTTATTTTTAATGCAGATATACAGAGAGAAGGAGAGACAGAGAGGAAGATCTTCCATCTGATGATTCACTTGCCAAGTGACCGCAACAGCCAGAGCTGAGCCAAGCCAGGAACCAGGAGCTTTTTCCAGGTCTCCCACAGGAGCTCAGTGTCCCAAGGCTTCGGTCCATCCTTGACTGATTTCCCAGGCCACAAGCAGGGAGCTGGATGGGAGTGGAGAAGCTGGGATACAAACCAGTGCCAATATGGGATCCCTGTGCATGCAAGGTGAGGATTTAGTCGCTTGGCACTGCACCAGTCCTGTGAACTTTTTCTTTAAGAAATTATTACTTGAGAGAGGGTGTGCATGCTCAACCATCTATTGGTCAACTCTTTAAATTCCCACAATGGCCATCATCATTGAAGCCAGAAGGCAGGAACTCAATTCAGGTTTCCCACATATATATATAAATATATATTTATACACACATGTGTAAATCTATATATGGAATATTTCCTCCATTCTCTCAAGTGTACTGCATGGAACCCATGAATTAACAAAAAGGTTAATAGGAGAAAGGACATATGGGCATTATTAATGCTAATATTATTATATGCTTGGTAGCTTCATCAAAAGGAGTGAAAAATCCAAAGAGATGACTCTGAAGGCATAAATATCATTTTAACACAGGACAATAAATAGTAGAAAAGTGATTGGGTAGAAGCAATGGAGGTTTGCGTTTTATATTTATATTTTTAATTTAATCTTATTTGAAAGTTAGAACTACAGAGAGAGGAGAAACAGAGAGTGAGCTTCACCCACTGGTTCACTCCACAGATGGCAGTGTAGCTGGGACTGAGCCATGCCAACGGTATTGGTGTTGCAGGCTATGGCTTTAGCTCCCATGCCACAGCACCAGCCCCAAGGTTTGGGTTTTTAAAGAAGTGAAGTGTGGGAAGGAGAAAGAAATGGAGATACAAACGATCCATGCAGACTAAATGGGCGCTCCATCTGGTTAGCCAGATAGCTGTCTTTCCTGGAGCAGGAGGGGAGCTTTTAATAGTGGCAATCTCCTTAATAGAGGACTACTTCCTTTTCGGTCAAGGGGGAGGAGGTAGTGCATCCTCTACATCTGTTGCTCCCAACGTGTCTTCAGCTCAAGGCAATCCTGAGTTCAAAATAGCATGTTTGGGGGCAGTGTCTTCTGGTTTTCTCCATGATGTGTTCTATGTTTTCTTTTTCCTTTTGAAGCTAAGCATTAAGTATGAGAGAGTTATAAATGTCCAAGTGATAACATCTTTTATTGTATGGTTCTGGCCTTAAGTTTCTAGTTTTATTTCATTTTGGTTAGGGAATGATTTCTTTTTCAAATTTATTGAAAATCTCAGCAAGAATTCATTGAAGGGCAGGCAATATGTTCCAGACGGTGAGACTTCCATTTTCGACACCAGCATCCTGTGTCAGCACACTTGTTCTAGTACTGATTGCTCCACTTCTAATCCAGCTCTGAATAAATGTGCCTAGAAAGATGATGGAAGATGAGGTCCTGCCCTGTGTAGCAGTTTGGATGGAGTTCTGGGATCCTGGCTTCGGCCTGGACCAATCTTAACCATCATAGTCATTTGGGAGTGAACCAGCAGATGGAAGAGCAATTTTTCTGTTTCTTCCTTTTTCCTCTCTGTGTCAATATGCTTGTCAAATAAATAAATCTTTAAGGAAAAAAAAAACTTGCTGAAGAACTACATTTTAGAGTCTCTTGAAGTTTTTATGATTTAATTACTATTTTTTTTAAACATTTCTTTATTTTTATTGGAAATGAAGATACACAGAAAGGAGAGATGGAGAGAAAGATCTTCCATCCCCTGGCTCAAGTAGATTCAATGGCTGCAGCTGAGCCAATCTGAAGGCAGGAGCCAGGAGCTTCTTGCAGGTCTCCCATGTGGGTGCAGAGTTCCAAGGTTTTATTATTGAAGAACCCTTCTGTCATATAATGGTTTTTGGTTAGAGTTCACCCAAGTCTGGTAAGAATATACTCTGCTGAAATTACATTTGTTTGATTAAAAACACAACTCCTTGCCCTTTTATTTCTAATGTCTTTTTAAAAATTCACTTCTTTAGGGTTCAGTGGCTAAATCTTCTTGCAGGGCCAGGATCCCATATGGATGTTGGTTCATTTCCTGGCTGCTCCACTTCCCTTCCAGCTCCCTGCTTCAAGCCTGGGAAAGCAGTAGAGGACGGCCCAAAACCTTGGAACCCTACACCCATATGGAGACCTGGAATAAGCTCCTAGCTCCTGGCTTTTGATAGGCTCAGCTCTGGCCATTGTAGCCATTTGGGGAGTGAAGTAGTGGATGGAAGATCTTTCTGTCTCTCCTCTCTGTAGATCTCCCTTTCCAATAAAAATAAATAATCTTTAGAAAAATTAATTTTCTTCTTTCTCCTGCACTTTTCTTAATTCGTTCCCCTCTATCTCCTTCCCTTCCTCCCTCCCTTCCTCCCTTCCTCCCTTGCTTCCTTCTTTCCTTCGTTCATTCCTTCCTTCCTTTGAGTGAGGAGAAAGAAAGGGATAAAAAATGCAAGACCTTCCATCTGCTGGGTCTTAGCAACAAGGTCTTGCTCAAGCCAGGAGCCCAGAAATGCCATCCAGTCTCCCATATGGCTGGGAGGACCCTAAGTGAGCATTGGTCTACTTGCTTTCCCAGGCACAGGAACAGAAAACTGGATTGGAATCAGAGCAGCCAGAACTTAAGCCG